CTGAGCTTGGGTCAGTCTGCTTTCTTGGGTATACGTCGAGCTGTGTTGTATCAAGAACTGTGTTCTCACTGTGTTGCAGAATGATACAAGACACTCTTTTTGGACACTACATGTAAGTCGTAGACCAGCGTGAAATGTAAAAATGTATACTTTACAGAGCAGGAATTACACCGATTCTTTCTTATTCTTGCCCCGACGAAAAACAAAGATGGCGGCCTAAAACAGTAAACAACACCACGGGAAGGCTCCTCCCTCAAAACACTAAGCTCCGCCCCCAAAGCACGGAATGGGACAAGGCCCTTGTGTGTCCAGAACTGTGCCCGATCAGGCACGGTTCGGGACAGTCCCCGCGTGTCCCGAACTGTGCTCAGTCCCAAGGCACAGTTTGGGACACGCGCCGTGTGTCCCAAACCATGCCCAGGCATGGTTTGGGACAAGGCACGGTTCGGGACACAACAGAAGTCTTTTACGCGACGTTTTTGGCGGGAACGTTGAGTGGGTTTAATCATGCACACGTGCGGTACATTCCAAAAGGTGGAAAATTCCAACAAAACAAAACGTGTGTGTAACCGTTTTTAGCTGCGAAATTTTCTCCTACCTCTTTTCAATGCCGCTCAACACGGAAGTAATATATTCCCCAAAACCATGATAGTCAAGAAAACAACCTCCCTATCAAAAAATACTCAAGTAAAAAAAAAATGATGGCCTTAAAAACAAGTCAATTGTGTACGCGTTCCACCAAACGCAAATTTCTACGGAATATAACAGTTACAATAACGTGGTCTGTTGCTACAGGTTTGTTGGAAGTACAATTCAAGGAGATAGATCTACTTAGTCTAGTAGTTTGTTGCCTTACCTCGCACCCGGCGAACGAGTCTTCTCAGCACCATGTCTTCTAAGCTGGTGTGTTACGCCGAAAGGCGGTTATACCGGCTATACAGATACAGATACCATGTGCACCACGCCGCCATGGCAGTCTAGTCGCCACAATTTTCTTGTCCAAACTTTGCCCTGCCAGGAGATACGAATATTTCTCCCTCAAACTTCCAAAGAACGGCATAAATCCGACCTGGAAACGTTCAGACGATATACTGTACACTTTAGACGGATAATTTGTGGACAAAATCCGAAAATTTACCCCAAAAGTTTGAGAGAATTCACGCACAACACGCCACGCGACAACGTGCTCCACACAGCTGTGCTGCATCTGGTCGAACGGACCGTACCATGTGTGATAATTACATAGGGGTGTGATTGAGATTAATCATTATTGCTTTTGATACTAATTAACCATCACCATTCCACCACCAGTCAAAAGTAATTATTCTCACCGCACAATTTTGGACTTGTTTTCTGTACGAAACCCAATGATCAGGATACCTTCTGCCACAGCAAGTGTTTCTATCCCAAAACATGGATCCTCATCCCCATTTGTTAAGTGGAAGGACCCATGTGTGGACCTCTCCTTGGTGCTGAACTCACCATCAGTTCCATGTATTGCAGTGTAGCCTCAATACTATACTAGACATTTTGTTTCACACAACAAAACACCCATGGAAAAGCGAGGAATGGATGTGTTTAGTACATATATACAGTATTCAGTACATAGAAGCCTGTATATCAACAAGATTATTATTTCATCAACCATTTTTATTACCTCCATGAAAAATGGAGGTATTGTTTTGGGCGTGTCTGTCTGTGTGTCTGTGTGTGTGTCTGTGTGTGTGTCTGTGTGTGTTTCCGCAACTTTGTAGTCAGCATAACTTCAGAACGCCTGTATGGATTCTGATGATATTTGGTATGATGGTAAGTCTTGGAAAGACAAAGGTCAAGGTCAAGTATGGGCCTCCTGGTGGATGACCTTGGTACTGCAGCAGAACTTCCGGTCTTTGTATCTTTTGTCCTGAACAAGCTATGGTCTTGACTTTTTGGTGACAGATAGCTTATCCTGTCAGAAATAAGTGGCGTAAGTTTGGTCCCCCTAGCAGCTTGTTCTGGAACTGCAGGTTAGTTTCTGGTAAAAACTTTCAAAGCCAATAAGTTTAGATTGGAACAACGTATTTTCATAATTTTTGGTGTGTAGGTACCTGAGAGACAGTTGTACATAATTAAATGCAAATTATGCAAATGAGGACTTAATTTGCATAATTATTGAGGAAAATTTATAATTGCAGTGTTTCATATAATGGTACTGCTATACATGTAATCTATTTAATCTGTGGCAAGCGGAACATCAACAGAATCAATTATGCAAATGGTGACCTAATTTGCATAATTAATGTGAAAATTCTGTGAATCCTTATTGGTGAATGATGGGAATTTTATACCTCATATCATGTGTAACTTACTTAAAGGTATGCATCGCTATGCATATATTATGTTAATGTAGAGGTATTTGCATAATTAATGAGGACAAAGTAAGCCCATATTTCATGGAGGTATGAGATCTCGGAACTCTTGTTCATATATATTTTCTGAGGATTAAGACAATTAAGAAAAAGTTACAATATACTTAGCTAGGCACTCTATTTACACAAACAAATAGAAGTAACACTAACAAAAACAAGCAGACAAGTCTCTATTTAGGCCACACCAAGTAATTTTTATGGAAGCATGGAGATTATTTCAACAGCAAACATTGTTGTCCAAAGAAAGACACCAGCAAAAGATGCCTTAAAACTTCCGGTCAGCAAATCTCACTTGCAAACTTGATTACATAACTGTTATACAAATCGAATTTGAGTACTATTGGAAACAACACACAACCAGTCTTATATATCTGGTATAAATTAGGATTTTATTGCAATACAAAGACAGTCAATTTAGAACATATAAATATACATCCAGAGTTGCACTCCGAATTCTCTATCACTATAACATCTATAATTGTTTGGTATAGGCAGGATATTCCAGCCCAGCTGCTCTGTTTACATATTGCTTGCACAGATGAAGTGAAGTCGCCTCTACCAGGTTTTGGAAGCGGATGGAAAGATATCAAATAATTGGACAAAAAGACAGATAACATACCAGGGGTGTTGGTCTGCTGAAGAGTACAGTTTGCCACACTCCTATAATGGACCAACTCCCCTGGCATTATTTCTGTCTTTTTGGCCAATTTCTACTCTTTCCAGCCAGTTCTGAAGCCTGGTAGCGGCTAGTAAAGGTGTTGCAGTGAATTTTATGGTTCCCAGTTTCATCTTGGATGTTTATACATACGCATTGCAATTAACTTACACATAAATACGTAGAAAATTGTTTTTATACAACTCTTTGTACTTTAATGAAAGTACATGTAACATTGCCACTCTCACTTTGTGTGCGACATAAAGCTAAGTCCTGAAAGACCTGCTTGTAATTGTAGTACTTAATCTCCATTGCCCATTCCGTGTTGGTAGAAGTCGTTATGAAGCAATTTTAAACTGTATAACACCTGAATTATAATCCGGCTTCTTAAACCACGACACGAACGAACATGGTTTGTTTGCCAACGTAAAAATCAAGTTCTTCCTCTTTTCTATAAAGTCGTTTCAAAAACCTAACTCACGGATATTTCCTCTATTTTCTATCTAGTATAAACCAACCTGCGTTTGTTCCCGCCAAAAGTTCAACAAAACCACGGCCAGATGAGAGAGTTCTTTCAAGAACGTTTTTCCATATTTGGGGGCTGTATGCAAATGAAGGCGGAAACTCGTTCCACTGGTTGGGCACACGGCATGTCCCCTTCCCTTGCAGCGAGGAAGGGTTGTTTCAGTGTCATTCGGAGCTTTCTCGGTTTCTGTCCCCCTTCCAGGGTTGAAACACGGCCACAAAGTAGTCTTTGGGGATCGGAAAACTCCACTAAAACACACAGAGGGAAGACACCACGTACAGGTAATATGCCTTTGTTTAGAAGACTTCCTTACGTGCATGCGAAGTTTTACCTGTCTCTTATTTCCCCTTTGCAATGGCCGCAAGGTGAAATGCGTACATGCACTCGGTGCCGTAGAGCGGTCAAGTGTTAAGAACCACGCATGTAGATCACACAGTTCTTGGCTCGAGTCCCGTTCTAGCTGTCCATTCTGAACTTCAAAATGCAACCTCTTGTGGGTACTAGTACCTTCCTTCTGAATGGTCCCACCAACTTCCCGAAAGTGGTATGCCCCACGGGCAGGTGCCTATGTACTTGAATATGGCGTGTTATGCCGTCTGGCGAGGTACTGGCTATGCGCTTCAGTTTCAAAACACAAAACAACAGATCCCAGGGGGAATTCATGGGAGTGAAGTTGATTGTTGTGAAGTTTTAAAGATCTTCCAAACCCATGGTTCACGTGGGTGACAAGCCATATCATATACTAAAACGAGGAAATGCGTTTTTGACGCAGTACGTGGGTGTATAATAGTTGCAGGATCAGTGACGACATTGACTACTACGTATACCGCAGGTGCATGTAAAGAAATGCTTCCATGCGAGACAGCAGAAGTGTTATTTACCTTCCTCATTCTTTGGTTCATATCCCCTAGGGCCGTTTCATTGTTTAAAAAAAAGTGGAACTTGACTGTGCATAAAAAATCATGCGCATTCAACCATGTCGCTCAGTCTATCGCGAAAGAAAATACCTCAGTGTTTCTAATGATAGTCTACAATGGATTATCTTGCAATGTATTAAATGTTAAATGCACAGTTTTACCTCCACAGAGATATTGCTTTCGTTGTGGTTAAGTGTGCATGTTTCTCTGTGTGTCTGTGAGTATTTGAATGCAGCAGCGTGGCAGGAAGGCTGTAACCGTAGATTGACAGGAAGGTCCACTCGCACATGCAGTTACGTCACTGTGTGTTGTGTGACCCACACTGCAGGGCCTCTTAGCCTGCGAAGTTTTTCCTAGCTATAGGCCCGTTGTGGTACGTCGACCAGACCATCTCTTTGATTGTAACGTTACCAATAAATTCACAAAAAATCTATAGACACTTCCCGGTGGTTTAAAATCTCCGATTTCTTGTATCTTTTTTTCTTCAAACCAGGATGTCTGCTCCCCAGACTACAACCCTATGGACGGCAACTTCAACAGACGCACTGGATGAAACGACAGTCTTCACAGAAATGACGTCGACTCAGAGCGAATTCCCCACAGATGACAACGTCACAACACTACCGACGACTGTCGTATCACAGAGTCAGACGACGGCCAACTATACCGAAATGTCCTCTGTGACCGAGTCTACCTTTATGTCCACCCCAATGCCAACCACCATTTCCTCGTTAACGACAACACCGAGTGCCACATCGGCAAGCAAACCCTGCCGATGCACAAGTGCTCCAACAACTTGTCAAGCCGCTAACGTCAACATGATTATATTAGGAACCGCAGTAGGTTCTATTATCGCCACTTGTGTCATGTGTGCCGTGATCTTTTTGGTGTGGTACAAATTCTATCACATCAAAAAAACATGCGTGCGGCGGGGACGACAATGACAGTCACAGTCACACCGAAGAAACAAATCTGGGAACGAGAGCGTCTGCGGAGGACATCGCCTCCCCTCAGCGGGCGCGGGATTCCGAAGCTCGTCCCCCGGCGCCGCTGCCCAGGTCGGAGCTGCAGGACGTGCGGTACTTAACCATGAGTGACATGAGATCCGCGTCGGCTCCTGCATCTCCAAGGGACATCGAGCTTCGGGAAACAGTTGGCACCGTTCGCTAATTTAAAAGCCCTTCGATTTTGAAAGGTTTTGTCTTTTAGCGAAAAATAACAGGGCTAACACTAACAGAATTATTTTTTGCAGCCAGGACCTTTTCGCGTTGCGGTATATGGTACAAAATCGACGCGCTGCGGACAAAGTCAGTATTGCAGTCATAATTGTATTCTTCCAATCTCAGTATTGAGCCAACTTTTGGGCGTGACAAGGAAAGTTGCTGCTATTCAGAGTGCACGACAAAAAAAACAGCAGTAAACAGGACCATTTGCACATATTCAGAGAATATGAAAATCTAGAGTGAATGCGGTTTCCAAACCTTGGAGAGTAAAGTTCCGGGTCCTCTGTTATATTAACAGTTACTTACTATTAGAGTGTACACCAAATCATATTTAATCAGGATTTTGTTGTAAAACGTGTTGTTAATGTTACCCTGTCAGGTCTCAAAATCTGTTCCATCCAATATGTGATTCATATAATACTCAGTCTTCCTTTTTTTGGCCTGAAAAGTTGCAAGTCATATATGCATTGATATTTCCTATGTCTTAACTTTTTTTTCTTTAATTGTTTAAAAAAAACTGCACATCACACTGGAAAGCATTGCAACTTATATTCATCTGGTCAAAACACCAAGGCATCCTTACATACCTCAAAACACATTTGTCTAGACTGATTCTAAAAAAATCCTTTGTGCCATCACAAAGTCGGACAATAGCTATGATAACCCTAGCTCATCTTAAACTTACAAGTATTACTTTAAAGGAATAGGCCAGCTACGTGCAATGACTCCCACAGTGAGCTGGAGTAAAACCTTCTCTTTTCAAAGTATGATGCTTTGACTTGAAGGTGACGAACATTGTAGTATTCAAAGTTGACTTTTACATCAAAGAACCACTAGTATTCCAAAATTTTGACCTATCCCTAAGATTAGAGTATTGCTAATGTTCCTTCCATTGCTGGAACAATGTATCATAATCGGAATGTATTATTCAACAATGGTATTCAATACACCAGAAAAGGACCATAGCTCACACAATTATAGATACAAACCTATCTTAGTACAAAGTAGCACCGTTGAGTTCAGCTAAGTTCTGTGAAAACCTTCACAGTAGGCCTTGATCAAGAGTTGTCAAATACTATATATTATAAATTATATAGTCAAGTCAAAAAGAATATGGAGAAATTGTTGTAATAATTGACTTCTTTCAATTACAATTCATATCACTAAATATGAAAAAGGAGTTTTCATTTTTATTTACCTACTCTTAGTCCTTATTTCCTCCCATAATGTTTGTGTTGTCTACTGCAAATATAAATATTCAACATAAATATACAATTTCCTTCCACACTGCAGTGAAAAATAAAAGTGTTTTTTCCCTTGAAGATGCAACAAATCTTCAAAAACATAATTTCACTTCTTGACATAAGAACACTCAACTAAAAGAATGCAACATAGTTCCTGGGAAGACAGAACAAATACAAACTTCTGAACTATAAAGAAGAAAGAGAAGAATGAAAATATTTGCCGTGACCATACGATAACGACAAGATTAACCATATCCCTGCTTTCTAACCCCATAAACGATACACATTTGGTGCCAAAATGGCTACCTTAGCATGCTAAAGGTTAAGTGAGACCCATCAGAATGAGACAGCAAGAAAAGTGTTCAAGAAAAAACTATAGAATAATCAAACCCGAGGAATGTAGCTTAAGTTGGAGTCATTGTAAATCAACCTCCTTTTGAACAACATTTGAATGACAATCCACACAACACTCCCACCCTGTTATGGCTTGGACCCTTTGGTTTCAAATAACCATAGAATGACGAAAGCAACAAAAATATCTCTGACTAGAAACAAGTATCAGAACAGACACACTGAACTACAAACAACACATACATACTATACACCTACAGAAAACCCTTCTACAGCAATACAGTTTGTCCAATCAACCTTAGATTCTGGCAGCACATAATATTGCTGATTGAAAAAAGTATATCCAAAAGCAGTCTTTGGAATCAAACTTCTCAATCTTTAATGTTCTGTTATGATTTCCTAGATATCTTTATACATAATCATGTCAAAGTGAGCCAATGGAAATCCTGTATTTTGTTTAATAGGTGAGGTTTCTAACTGTCACCCTGTGAGGCTCATGAAGAGTGGGAGGTGAAGTTAAAGTTGTTACACATTTTCAAATTTGGCGTAGATTGCTGTGACGTATGCCATGATTGCCTGCCAGTCTGGTCGTTCTGTCTGGACCAACTCATCTGCACTCTGGAAGGAGACAAAATAGACAACACTCTTTTAACACAACACAGTAAGTCACAGTACAAACTGGGCTTTCATTATGTTTCAAGTCATGGTCTTTCTGTTTGGGGTTTGGTGTAAAACTGATAACAGGCATGCATAATATAGCAAGAACTTGAAGACAGGAAATGAGATAATTTTTTCTGGAACCTTTGACCTAACTTCCATCAGGGTCCCTGGCATGCCTAGCATGAGGATATTACTACATAAACACAAGCCAAACACACAAACAGACACACCAAGAAGCAAAAGACTTTGTAAACACTCACCAGCAAAGTTGGAATTCCCACACTCTCTCCTGCTTGGAAGGCAGTTGTGAAATTTTCCTCTGCACAGAAAAAAACAACAACTTGAAGATAGTATCATAATTAAGATGCTGTACACTGTCTAGCAATTGGACGTGTCCAACAATAAAATAGCATTTCTTATTGCAATCACTAATTGCTGGTAGGTTTAATTTGGCCTGTATTTTACATTTCCAAGAAGTTAGCTGCAAACATGAAGCTTGAAAAAAAGGAAAAGTTATGACTTTTGGTGGCAAATAGAAGACAAACTGGACATACCTTGTTCTGGGCAGTTAGCTCGGAGAACGGCACCTTGTCTGGCAGGTAGGAATGAAGAAGTGCACAGAAGGAGAGACCATCATTCCAACTGGTACTGAAGTTTGTGATGTCTATGCCCTGGATGGAGAGGAGGAAAACAAATGAAGACCATACTTTCAATTCCTGGTGTTCAATCATGGCTTGCCTCACAATAATTCAATACCAGCTGGGTTTCAAGTAGAACAGTTTGTGTTACCGTGTATCCCTGGGTCTTCCTCTGGCACCACTTTTAACAGAGCGTTCCTCTTGGACCCTCCCCTCTCTCTCTTCACTAGAGCTGCCAGGGGGTCTCTGGTAGTGATAGAGTCTCTTCTGTCACTGGTGTCAGAAAAAAAAACACGCAATACTCAGTCAAAGTGTTCCATTACTATTTACTAACCTGTTTTGAATTAATAACATGGAATTACAAAAAAAAAGCATTATCATTCCTGAAAGACTATGCACTCTGCAGATGAGCAAGAGTTGAGATGCAAAACATACATGTACACAATCTGCCCACATAGAACCATAATTCTATGCTGACCAGTCTACTGACCCGTTAGCAGGAGATGTAGGGACAGGGACTGTCCTCTGTGCTTCCTTCTTCTTCAGGATTCCCCTGGCCACCGGGCTCCGAGACTCCTGACCAGCCGAGGACTGCTGGCCTGCTGTCTGCTCCTTACTACCGGTACTAGGTGGAGATTCTGGTAGTTTTAAAGCTTCCAATTCTGTATAGTAGAGGGAAAGTAAGGGATCTGAATTGAAATATTTTTTCAATACACTTGACTATCTTTCACACATATACTCGTTTATGTACATTGTATAAAAAATGTATCTTTGATCAATCAAAGTGCTCTGAGATCTAGATTGTAAACAAGACAGGATTTCTATCAAGCATATTATTGATCAGTGCTAAAGGTCATTAGGTTTAGGAAGTAGGACTGTATGTTTGTGTTTTGACCGACACATAACAAGTTATTGTAAAAAATGAAATGTTCATGGTGGTTTTATTTTCACAGTTTTTGCAGAGATCGCAAATATATCTTCCTTCTAAGACTACTGTACTACAGAATTGCTTCAACCATGAATTTGAAACACGGTGAAAACCTCCTTTTTTCTCCTAATGCACAATAAAACAACCACAGAAGTTTCACAAGTTACAGCACAAAGCTGTGATCCTTACCAGGAATGGTGGGCACACTGCTCCTCCTGCCCCCCTCCCCACCAGGTGAGGTCACCTTGCCCTGTGGAGAGTCTGTCTGGTCCTCTAACAGCCGAGGTAAGGACGGGTTAGGCTGGCTGTGTCGCCACTGCGGATTGGCTGTCGAGGCCGGGTTCTTCTCCCTGTAACAGCATAGTGTAGAGATCTCATCTTCAAACAGTCAAGGCAGAGAAGTAGTCTAAAGTCATTTTTATAGAACCTTCCAAATCTTTGCAAACAATGACATGATGTGATGTACTTACTCCTCCTCCTCTGTAGTACTGGAATGCATGAGTAGTGAGGAACATATTGTTAAAATAACATCAGTTAGGACTTAGGAGTTGTGCAAGTATCAGCAGAGGTAGAAGCACATAAATGCATTGTACAAGTTGAGCCAATCACAAAGTAGTCTGCAGTACAGGAGCTAAAAAGTTGCACTTAACTGTTAACACCACTAATCATGGTTGCTTTGTGGAATTCAACAATATGTTGATGAAGTTTAGACATCCAGGTAAACTCTACTTCTGGATGAATTATGGAGATTGCTTCTGAATGTTTTGAACAAAGTTGTAAATAATGCTATGTTGTCCAAATATCTTTCCGGATTACCATTTGATAAACAAGATGTTTACAACAGATTCCTATGTCTGGTAGTTACCTGAGTGTGACACCGTGCAGGGTAACTGGTGAGGCTAGAGCGGGGGGTACAGTTGCCGTGGGCGATGGCGGACTCTGTGATGCCACGTTGAATGACTTGACCAGGCTTTTCACATTGATGGGGGAGGCACTGTCTGGTCTCTTCACCCCTGATCCCTGTCTGTAATACAAAAATCATAAAAATTGTCAATCTTTCTTCTCATATTTGCTACATTCTTCTAGAAATCTCAATGCCTTTTTTTGTTATAAATTCCTAAAACTTTTAGTTTTAAAACCTCTCTTAGAATATTCACTAGATTTACAGAACTTGTCACAATTGCTGTACATTCTGAAAAGAAAAAAACTAAAAGGATTATAATTACCTAAGAGCTGACAAGTCCTTCTCCACCGAAGCCAGGTAGTCCTGTACCCTGCCCTGTATCTGTGGATCCCTCTGCTTGGGTGTGGTCTCCACACTAGAACCAGGACTAGCTGTGGTGGTTAAAGATAAAACAAAGAATCGTTTTTAGGGGATGACAAAACAATGAATCATCTGGGATGACAAAACATTTCATAAAAAAATTTCAATACCAAGTTAATTTTGGATGAGGATGATTCTGGAATACATGTAGTCCAATTTTGGGGCAGAAAAGATTTTGGAATGGACCAGTTTAACACAGTGGTGATACAGTGGGAGCCAGTTAATTGAAAAACGCTTATAAGAAAAAGTCTGCTAATTGAAAAGAATTGTGAAAACCCAAACCGTTTCCCATTGGCACCATTGTTTATCGCGCCCCTTATTTGAAAAGCCAATGCCGGCTAATTGAAAAAAAAAATTGTCAAGATGCAACACATTTTCAACCAAAAATATGCCAAACAAATCACCAAAATCGGCGGAAAATTTCTTATATCAAGACATCAAGCCGCCAAAAGGGACGAAGTTGTCTGTTTTGAACCACAAAGGAGGCCGAAATTTACGTTGATCAAGCGGTCGGGCGCACATCGGCACGACGTAATGAGAAGCGCGAGCCGGTTCATAGCCGCCAAATGCGGCATGCTTTTGTGTTCTTTTAGCCTGTTTATTCCAAGAATGTTTAATTTCTCATACAACTCATTTCTTAATCATTAAAATTGTGTCTCTACTTTTGTACTGTGCCTTTATTTTTGAGTTTATTTCGACTGCGACACGGCGCTATCGCCGCATCAACACGCCAAATGTGCCACGAAAAAACACCGCATGGAATGATGGGATACTGCTACCCACGCCGCGTCCGCCATCTTTGTTTACTTCCCCGAACGCTAATGCGAGAGATCCCCGTCAACTATCGCAAATTTCCATGTAACCTACGGACATCGTAAGCTAAAAAGTCATTGACATTGAAATGAACAGTTTATTGTTGCATTAGCTACGATAATTTTCGTGTGCTAGCCGGAGTTTCTGAAAATTAAGCGACCGAAGTGATCCTTTGTGCTATCGACTGCTTTCATGACGATCGTGTGCATAAATTATGTCTGTACGCTACTTGATTGAAGTTTTCCGTTGATCAAACTTTATTTTTGCTACTTTTGTGGTGTAAAAGTATGTACAGGCTGATGATTGTGCATGTATTCGTTGCTCGTTTTGTACGTAGCAAACGTAGCATTGTTTATTCGTTCGAGTGCCTGCCGAGAGCACATGATGTCTAACGTATCGCAGCGTTCTTCCAGCCTTGGAAAAAAATACGTAAACGAAAAAATACGTAAACGAAAAAATTATAAGCAAATTTACCGATCTCAATAAAGTTCACTGTTTTTAATGTGTAAATATGACTCGTGTTTGTATTCTTTATGTCGTTATTTGTGTTCGATGTCCTGTCCACCCCCCACCCCCATAGTTTCGAAGTCCGAGAGTTAGAGCCTCAGAGTCTCTTAATCGGAAAGGCCGGGTATTTGAAAAAAATGTGCTGACAAATTGGCTTTTCAAATAAGCGGCTTCCACTGTATTAGAACAGTCCAAGGGGAGAGAGATGGAGTGAAATATGCTGCATTTACATGCAAATATTGCTTCACTAGTTCAAAGACAATTTTGCAGTATGTCTTCTTCATGCCCTTACTGTGTCTATTCCCTATTTTAACCTTATTCTTGCTGAGTATCCTTTTGTCACCATCTTTGCATTGTTTACAGGGTTAGACAGTAGAGAGAAGTTAAAATAAGACCCAGATGACCCACCCTGCAGATTGTGTAGTCTCTGCTTGAGTTCGTTGTAGTCCTTCTTCACCTGCACGAGTTCCTCCTGAGACTCGGTCCTCATGTCGTTAGCGATGACGACGGCGGTCTGCAGGTCGGCCTGGAACTGTCGCCACTCCTCCGCGTCGCTCTCACGCTGGCGCTGGGCAACCGTCAACTCCTGTTCCAGATCAGCCTGGAAAACCAAATTGAATACAATTGCGTTAATGGCAAAAAGGTTTTGGGTTTGAATCCCGGCAGGCTCCAGTGTTGTACCCTTTGGAAAGGCACTCATTTCCTCACTCAACTCGGGTTAAAATGAGTACCTAGCTTCATTTCAGATGGGATGTCCAGAGGTCCAATGTTTGAGGACAGCCACACAACAAGGATGCTAAAGGCCTCAGCACACTTATCAAAAGAGTATGGATTCCTCCTTGTGTGAGTTTTTCAAACCTTACAGGTTTCAGGGTTCTCAAGAACACAGGATGTATATTTAGTGTGATACAAGCCTGGAAAGTCTAAAGTTCTCTGGTTGACACAGATCACGAACAACCTACTTTCTGCTGCTTGAGGTTTTTGATGGCGCCCTGCAGCTCCGAGATGAGGATGGAATCTTGTCGTTTTTCGGAGACGTGACTCTTCGCTGCCCGCTCAAGCTCTTCAGCTGACTCACGCAGACCAGAAATTTCATCGTCCTGAGGAGCAAAATTAAAAATGATACATTGAATTCAAATTATGATTCTGTCATGAAAATTATCAATTGAGTGATACCAATGCTTGAACACATTGAGCTAGTGACTCAATGCATTTCTCAACACCTACTCTGTCTGGACACAAAACATACAAACTTAGCCACTCAAAAACAATACTTCCATACCCAAAATTGATAATACTTAAAAAGTATAACCATTACCTTCATTCTAACTTCTGCAGTCATGTGATCCAGCTGGAATTTTAGGTCTCTGATGTCGTCATTAGCGGATGTCCTGTCTGCTTCCAGCTGTCTCACCCTGTCTTCCAGTCGTGCCAGCTCTCTGCTCTTCTTCCCGAGCGATCGTTCCAGCTCCGCACACCGGGACTTCGCCCGCTCCGCTTCCACCTGTGCAGTTCCTATCACGCTGTCTGCCATGTCGTGAGATTCGGGAATGTCTGACGGCATTGTGGCGGCGTCCGTGCCTGTCGTAGCTTGCCCGCTTCTTTCCGAACTCGACGAGCTTGATCGCCGTACGCGTCTCATGGCCTCCCCGATGATAGGACTAGCAGGGGCGCTGAGATGTGATGTGGAGGTGGATTTCTCCAGTTTGGGCTGCTTCTGGGCGAGAAGAGTCTTCAGTTCTTCCACCTCCGCTCTGCTCTGCTCCAGTCGCTCGGTCTGCTGGCGTAGGGACTCCATGATGACGGCGTTCTCTTTCTGCAGTTGTTCGTTTTCGGAGGAAATCTCCTCAACAGTCATCTGTTGTTCAGTCAGCTCCTGCAGAAATACGTTCAAGTCAAGTGTCAGACTTTTTTTTTAAATTAACATAACTTGTCAGTGTGGGAAGTGAGTCACAATGACTGATAAAGGAACTACATGTAACTTTTTATGTGAGGAATTAGAAAGTAAGAAATCTGTATGTAGGCGTTAAGAGTATAAGAGAGTATAAAAAAGACGTAAAATCCATGTTCTGTGATAGGTCTTGTCTTAGTTGGGGTCACCATGCAGAATGGCTCTTGCTCTTCATTTCTTTGGTTTTGCACCAACTTGTAAGGGACACCTATGGAGGCTACCAAGGCTATCAGCTAACAAACAAACAAACAAACACCAGACCTGTATGGTTGCCTCCAGCTCTTCGCTGACGCTCTGTTGGTTCTCCTCCATGGCGATGATTCTCTCCTGCAGGTCGACCATGGACACCTCGCTGCCAGTGGTACAGTCCCGCATGCTGCCGCTGCCCAGCAGGTCTCCAGAGTCCTGACTCAGGTTGTCAGGCGTGTCGCTCCTCCCCGCACTCAGGTTAGCCTCCACATCAGCCTGGAGAAGGTCCTCCATGGAGCCTGGGGGAGGAGGGCATCAGCATCATTATCATTGTCATCATCTAGAGCATCAGTGTCTTTCTCTAACATTGACATGATGGGGTCATGATAGGTAGGAAAAACATGTACAGTACCGATCTCCAACAATATCTACACACATGCAAGTTGCAATCAAAAGTCGTGCAAAATGGGATTAAAGGCAGTGTATTTCTACATTAAAATGCATGCAAAAGCTGTGGACTGAAACATGTGTAGATGTTCGTGCTATTGTGTGTGGTTATGCGTTTATGGTATTACCTTTACTGTTTAACCTATACTAAACATCCAAATTTCTTTTCACCAGCATTTACTGGTTAATGTGACCTACATCTGGTCCACTGTACAGTACAAACCTGGTGAGGAACTGGAAGCGCTCAAAGGCCCCCCAGGTGCTGCAGGTGCACCCTCGACGACACTCATCATGGAGGCGGCCTCAGCACCTGTGGTGCCTTGTTGTAACAACAACAACTCCTTCTCTGCATCAGTCTTCTGGTCCAGTGACAGACCCAGGGCACTCAGTCTCTCTCTCAGGAGACGGTTCTGTAAGGAATAGGGAGATGTCCTTAAGACTCAAGATAAAGCCCAAATCCTTCCCATTTTTGACTTGAAAAAAAAAGGATGGAGAAAAGAAATAAGATTCTAGTACTAAAAAAAAGTACACAGACAATATCAAAAGGCATTCAATCAAATGAAGGGTAGATATCACATAATACAAAATAAATCAAGCAACTAAATAAATCCACTGGAGGCATTTTAGATAGTATCTGCTATCTTGCATCGGTGAGTGAGACATTCAATTATGACTGGTTTATCATCAACACAATAAAATGCATTCTCATACACTGAGCCATACACTTCCTGCAGCTTTAGCAATTTATAATGGTCACCATACCCATCAGAAACCGCTTACCTTCGATTCAAATTCCTAATCTTTGTACCATTGAAAGCCAAAATGTTGCCACAATTTCACTGAAATAATCGGCATCACTGGCTCAAAATGCATGAAACCTGAAACCAGTTCATGAATTATGGAGAGTGATATGGTTTAGCTCATCAGCGTAATCTCTTATGCAGATGTCTATCAGAATGTTCCGCCCAAATGCAATTAGCATCCATCACAGCTGATTTACATAAGGTCGCTCCATGGTGAATGTCGTATAATTTTCATTTTGCTTTCAAGATACCGAATAGGCAGTTTCATATAATTATATGAATTTGGAAACAAAACGTGTTTTATGAAGAATATGTAACTACAATATTATGACAATTATTTTTCCTTTCATATTATGATTTTTATCTTGAATCATGAACAATTTTGCTGTTTTCAAAGCTGGAAAATTGTTTTACACTCTAACAGGTTATAACCCTATATTAAACCAGCATGTCTATATGCGGCCAAATGATAAGGTTGAGATATTTTGTTTTTTCAAACAGGACTGCATGTTGCTTTTAATATACTGAACGGGAACCTTCATCTTGATCTTGATCTGGTAATTGGTAACAAAAAATATGCAACTACAAATTATGTTTTCCAGTTCTCTTTCTTTGTACTAAAATCAGGGACAATTTTGCTGAACTGCTTATAAAATGAGTCATAATTAAATCAGGATGAAGGAGACTAAATCAGATTAGGATATAATATATTTGGTATCATTTTAAAACCCACCTCTCCTCGGAGGCCTGTCAGTTCCTGGCTGATGGTCTGGTTCTGCTGTTGTAGCTGTTCGATCATCTTCACCAGTGTTTCGTGTACGCTGCTGCGTTCCTCGCCGCTGGTGGCCGGTCCCTGTTCGACCTGTCGCTCCAGCAGCAGCCGGACCTGACGCAGCTCCTCCTTCAGAACGTCCATATCGATCCGCGACGACGCCACCAGCCGCGACGTAACCTCGTTATCCCTCCCCGAGGAAACCCGCGTGGGAGCCACTGGCTGGACCCTCTTGTCGCTCGTACGCGATTTCGTCGCCTTGTCCTTGGAAAGTCTTCTTGCGCTGCTGGTGTCTGACTTGGTCTTTTCTTTGGGAGCTTTGTCCTTGGAAGGAGCTTCGGTTTTTGCCGCAGTTTCTTTTGCTGCAGCGCCTTTCTCCTTGCTGTTGGTCTCCTTTGTGGCGACTGTCTTGTCCTTGCTGCCGCCATTTTCTCGGGAGGGGCCATTTTTCTCGCGGGAGCCGCTGTCCTTCGCTGAAGTGGACGAGGCGTTTGACGAGCTGCTGGTTTTCCTGGGGGCAGCTGCGGTGGCAAGGCCTGCAGATGTACAGGAAAAATGCTGTTGTAAGTGGACTCTACTTCTTGTGAACAAACGAAGGATGGTATACTTGTTCTTCCTGTAATTCAGGTTTGACAATTTATTGAAAGGTGAGCCTTGACATTTATCACACTAGATGAGTCATCGGCATTATGTTTCCAGAGAATACCGGTACACCTTTGAATTTGAATATTTTACCTACATGTGTATTTTCCCCTTTATAACTTACATCTTCCAATCGGGGCATCGTCCTTTGTAGACTGAAGACCACCAAAAGCATCCATTGCTAGTCCTTTTCTCAATCAAAATTAGTATTATGTAGTAACAACGTTATTCTAATGTCTAAACATTAATCCAGGTTGTACCATAAGCACATCCAAGCTTCCGAATCACTGGTTCACGGATACTTATTTTTTTACAGAAAACTGCCACTGGAGTACATGTACATGTAGCACAAAGGTGGTAACACTCTGTCTGGTCCTTTTGAATGCCAACCGGTATTGACCATCAGTAGCAGCTTGTAGCCTTACGTCATTCTTGTACACAAAAAGACACAGTTTACATGAAAGGGCGCCGAAGGATGACTCTTCTGTAATTTTTTTGTCACAGGTAACAGCTTCCAAGTGTACATTTGGGTGGGGTCACAGTTTTCCAATTGGTACAATGGCATTCAAATGTTTTCTATATCATTAAGAAAACTTCCTTTTGAAGTACTGTAGTCAGTCCACCTTGAAGCTTTGACATTTTTTTGTCTACAAACTTTGTTCAGCAACTAAAGTTGCATGTGGCATCACCTTACCTTGTTCTTTGTGCTTGAGAAGCTAATTCAAAAGGCATTGATCAGCTACAGCAAGTCAAAGCAACTGCCTTTGACCGTGATAATAACCTCATTAGGGCTACTCCATTTCACTTAAGGAAAGAGGACAATTGGATATGCTGAGGAGGAATTCTTGAAAATTATGAAGTACAAAAATGAACTTGAGCTTGCATAAACTGTGTTGTTATATGAAAATAAAAATAAAAACGACAGAAAAAAAAGAAATTGTGTGGTTGGATTTAGGGATCTGAGGTTAACTTAAGATGACGTGGAATTCCTTTTGACGATCACAGTCAGACTAAACAAGCTTCACCAGACTTAGGATAATTACCCCCACTTAGACGGCTGCCAAGAAAAGAGCAGAGATCAAGTGGAACTTCAAGTACCTCTCACAATGATTCTGCTACATGCTTATTCTTCATCCACTCTAAGTCTCAAGCATTACCACCTTTCATTACATTGCAGTGGTAATTCTAGTACTAATTAATTTTCTAGACAAATAGAAGTAGAATCTACAGTGTGTACTTAAACTTCACTCACCTACTTCAGGAGTGTTGTTTTCTTCTAAACACCATTAGCACAGACATGTGCAGGTATAAAAATTATCATCAGCATATTTTTGCACAGTCACAAAGCAAATTAAATATATCTGTAAGTTAAATCATAGAGGTAAAAAAATCTTGCCCGAAGGCTTGAGTTATTCAAATGTCGGTACGAATTAGACACACCCACCTAAAACATGTAACCCATCAGCTTTATAAATACACATTGAAATCCATGTGACTTTTGACCCTAATTCTGTAACATATGGACTGGTTGGCTTGAAAGGTATACAATTATATTATATGTACTGCCATGTGATTTGTTACATCATTAGTACCATTGCCATGTGATTTGTTACACCATTAACTGTACTGCCATGTGCAAAAACCTTCCTGCCAGATAAGGGTTTTATATTTGGCCTACACAACAGGGTGGAAGGAAGGCTGGCACTGAGAGATAAACCTTACAAAGTACCTTGGAGGAAACAGGATAATGTCATGATAAGATCTAGAAATGGGCAATAATTCTTGACGCCACCAGTACTGGTTTCACAGTTGGAATACTAAATGCCCAACTACAATGCATCTGGGTCTCACATTTTGGCACCATTATTGAAAACATACAATTCAAAACTGCAAAATATGTGACTCCTGCCAACTTCATAGTCATTATATTTGTGGGAAGTGTGTGGCTCAATGTGATCTAACAGTATACAGGGTGTCAAGCTTGTCCTTGACTTGAGGTGATCTATCCACCAGCTTGCAGGTTACATACTGTATATCTGCCAATTTGAAAAACACTACTACATACATGTACTGCTGGTGTGTTTGAGAGATCTCTAGTATAGCATCTACCAGGTATGCACAGTTTAGGAATGCATTTTAGTTTTTACTGGTTGACGTTGAATTGGAGAGCTGTTTAGATGCATTTCATTTAGTGTAGTGGAAATGTTAGTGTTGATGCTAGTTCCAAACAATAAAGTTCTATCCATCTAATAACCTACGATACCTAAATACAGTATACAGGAAGAATGCGCATGTATATATTACTAGTACATGTATATACATTTGCAGATACAACCCAAGAACACGGTAGACATAAAGCTCACCCAGACTTGACTTTGGCCTGGCTGGAACCCTTCTGGAGGCTGTCGGATCGTCTGCCAGGTGCTCCTGACTGCGGCTGAGGTAGTGTCTGCTCCGGCTGATCACAGCTGCACTGCTGGTCACCTGGCCAGGTGTCGCAGGTGACCGTGCAGACGACATCAGGTCCGACCTTCCTCCTACGCCACGAAAGCTGCCCACGCGGCTCCCCGCCAGGCTCGGCGGAGGTCGGAACCCGGCGGACGTGCCAAAAGGCGGCCTGGTGGACCTCTTCATAGTGGTCTAGATGGGGTAACCTGGGATAATATAACAAAACAATGGACATTGATTAACAATGGAGACTGACAATAACAGAACTGGAGAAACCTTACTGACAAAAGCTTTTGTAATACAAAGGTTTCTTTTCTGCAGGTTACCAGCATTCCAATTTCCACCTTTTCACCTTTTACTGGGTTGTATAGCCAAGTGTAAGACACCATGTACTGCCAAGGAGGTTTAAAACCTCCTTGGTACTTAACTGCATGTTACAGTATTGTAGATAGTTGTACAATGTTCATGTTGTTGTATTATAAGTTTCCGCTTGATCCTTTTTGGCAAGCACAAGGAACAGTGTCGTCCATGGCTAAATGTTCTGTTCTAAAGACTGCAACCCTTTCCATTGGTATGCAAGTCTAGGATGTGAAATGACACAGGGAATTTGGCTCTTGACCTTCTGGGCCAGAAGCAGGTCAACTAAATATTGGACCACCCATGCTACACCTGGTCTGGCCAATGAGATAAGAGAAAAGGGACCAATGTCAAGATTAGATTAAACATGATCTTTGACTCTTTCAGGGCTGATAGGCCTAACCTAGACAGGTTTGAGAACAAGAATCTGCAAGATTGACTGACTTACCGGTAGTAAAGAGGGGACAAAGTACTGTAAATTGTGAAACTTTAGCAGTGGCTTTATTTCACAATGGTAGGGAAAGGGAGGTTTTCAGTGTTTTTAAATCTGTGATTGAAATAATTCTGTAGTACAGTATAGGAAGGGATATATAATATTAGCAATGTCATGAATCTTCTGTAAAGAGGACATTGTCAAAATAAAACCACTGAAAAAGTAAATGCTTTTACAGTAATGATTAATGATGAAAGGTCCTGGATCAAGTGAGACTGCCAGATACAGACCAGTGGGAGGTGAAGTTCAAAGCTATCAGGGGTTAAAAGGCCAAGGGCAGGGGCAACAACAGGAGACAGGACTGGAATTCTTCAGAACTACTCTAGCTATGTTAAAAAAGCTTAAGTAAAAAGAGAGCAAAGGCATCATGATAACAAAATCTATGATACGAAGTCTCAAGACCATACAAGTTATTTATATATATTCTATATTTGTCTATTTAGTTGAATAGGATGACTCTGACTGAGATCAAATGTATAACACTTCCATCAATCTAGCAGTTCATAATAAGAGGATTAAAGAGAGTCACGAGACATAACCTTGAAATGATTTCCTGTTGATGCTATATCTAGTATGATTAAATCAAGAGCATCACTACATATGAGCACCTTATATAAGTTATAATGTTTGTATATACTATTATCTTTAAAGGCTCCATACTGAATCATTATGAATATTATAGTGTGTAGCAAACTTTGATGTCAAAATCCCTGACATAGAGATGAGATATGAGTACATGTTTTATGAATAAGAAAGATGTACTCTTAGTCTTATATATGTACAAAAATTATGTAATTCACAAAATCCCATAATTTGTCAATGATAATTCCTAGGTTCACATATTTCACGATCTTTCATAAAGTCACAAAACGCACACCACACACACATGGTGGCTAAAGACTCTACTCAAAATGTGCAGCGTGATAATATAATTAAAATTCTGGCTGAATAAACATAAGTTGGGGAGGGGGGCATGGATATCATTTGTTCTTTCACGTGAAAACAAAGACCGTTTGGCATTCAATAAAGTAACAAAAGCTTCCTAAGTTGCGGTCTAAAGTGTGTAGCATTAGCGTGAGTGTGTGAGAGACTTACCGGCTTTCTGTCTGCAGTCAGATTGCCCCGCCAAATTTCAGTGAACCACAAAAGGCAAAAGGACAGGAAAGAGTAACCCGACACGAAGCACAAGTGTTTTTGTTTGAACGGGGCAGAAGTCAACTTCCGGGATGACAGGCGCTATGTCCGGTTTCATCCACTTTTTCGGAGGAACGCTAGTATATTTTCATATTCGTAAAACGTTTTGAAATATATAAATGAATATTTTTATGAGATCATCATATGTATAATATTTGAATGTACTCTATACTTTAGTCATATAAGCAAATCATATCGAACAAATATTCATCAATTACATCAAAGTTATCAATAAACACCTATATTGGGCGATACCAATATTAAAATTCAGACCAATTAGACTTGAGATATTAGCCAATTTAGGTTTACATCAGCCAATCATGGAAAACGTTACACAGGTCTTTTGGGTTTAAATTTATTGACCAATCAGCGCCCGTGTTCTGAGCTTGCCCAGACCTGCCCCTTACGTCAGAGGCTGACGAAAAAATCACTGGGGAAGAGGGTTTTTTTCAGCGATCTTCCAAGAGACCGGTACAAATGGCTCCAAGTTCAGCGGGAAAGGGTGTCCTTAGCCTCCGGGTTACGGCGGAAGCCAACCAAGGTGGACGAAAGTACATGGAGGACTTGATCTGCATCAATTTCGAGCGCGAGCAAGGCTACGAGATGGCCTTCTTCGCTGTGTTCGACGGGCACGGAGGCAAAGATGCCGCCCAATTTGCCCGCGAAAATTTGTACGCGAACATCAAGAAACAAAACGGATTTTTCTCCAGGGACAACGACAAGGTTTGCAAGGCGATCAGACAAGGGTTCCTGGAAACACACAAGGCCATGTGGAAGAAGATCGGTAAGAAAAATCGGCTGCTATCGTCCCGATTTCGAAAATTTTATTAGGCGGGAAAAAACCCGACTACTTGATCAGCCGGTTACAAAGCAAAACAACATACTTGTCTGTACTTTAGACCGAGGGGTCAGCCCTTTTGTACCTTCGCCACAAGCTATTTGGTATCATTCCCACAAGTAATCGACAAGATCGTGACGGAAAAATTCACGATTTACCACGTAGAAAACCATCCATATTTGTGTTGTCAGCCTCGAATCGTGCTTTGTAGTAAACTTTGCCCCCCTCCCCCATGGTGAAGTGATGATAGCTCACATATGTGTGACCTTGGTGCCAGTGTTTCTACGTGTACGATATCGATCTATTAACCGTTGGATTGTACCACAGCACGCGACAGGCTTGCTTAAAATATCCCCCAGCCGACATTAGTTGCCGATGTGCGAGTTTTTGTGAAGATTTATGGGTTTTTAATCGGGTCACGACCGATTTGCGGAAGGCGGGAAGGGTTGTGTGCTGCACACCCCTGGGCCTTTCCCCATGGGATCGGCCACTGCTACTGGAATTAACGGGGAGCAGACAAATATTTATAGTCTCATGTTCCAACTTGTTTCAGTTCTGTCCTACGCCTGATATTTTTTCACCCAGCTGACGCATGTCACAGATCAATAATTCTATTGTATTCAAAACCGTTTCTTTGTTGTTCCTGTTGATTAATATTTGATAACCATTTTTGCCGCAGGCCACAAGAGGTATAAGCTCAACATAGATTCAAACAATGGAAACACATTCTATTATAATTTTTTTTACAAATCGATTTGTTGTGTCTGAGAAGAGTGCAAAGGTAGATTATAATTTGTTGTCAAGAAATATTATTATATCCTGCAACATATAGAAATATTTAGAAATGATGTTCAAAATATTGCCAAAATATGAATTGTTTTAAGGCACCCAAACACAAAGAATTTAAAGGGTTTCCCAAAAACTGAAATCAGCAATGACAACAATAACCCTTTTTGAATGGACTCTTCCTGTCGATGTGAAAAGCAAAGATAAAAAAAAACAGCCAGGTGTATTTTTTCCCACCCAGACCAGAGAGACTGGGAGTCAATATAAATATATGTGATATTCTATCTAAAAGTACTGGTCTTGAATCAGCCTTCTGGCTTCTGCGTTGTTCTATGAAGAGATGTACACCTGTCAAAGCTGTCAGGAATGAAGAAAAATAACAGCTGTCTTCCAGCAATTCCCCTACCCCACAATACTGAATATATACAAAGAAAGACAGACAGTCATGACAGACAGCTTTCAGTTTATGTGTCTAAAGGAATTTGTCTAGAGAATGGTTCCTAAAGTCCTCTTCAAATGCCTGATTACACTGATTCCTGTACACCTTTGTTGCCAGAGCGTCCCCAATGAGAGCCTGGGGCATTGTACTCTTCTAATTGCAAGCTTAATTGGAGGTTAGATTCTACAACAGTTCCTCTGTAAACATGGGTAAATTAGTGCTCCTTCAGGCATGATGCTGACCGCTATCATTTCATGGTTTTAGTTATGTCACCTTGACAGAGTAGGGGTAACGGAAAACACTGCTGCACCCAAGGTGGTGACAGCCACTTCTACAGCTGTTCTAAGCATCTCAAACAGCCTTGAGCCTTTTATACCAAGACAGAAAAAATGTTTCTTTTAATGATTAAGCTCTTAAAGACAGCAAGGCTGTTGTTTTGACTAGATAGTAATTTAATTTACCAATATCTTAACTGATGTACCACTAACTTCAACTTGTGAAATTTGACTGGCAAACAGAAGAAATCAAACAATTTCTTAATTTCCTCCAGCTTCCTGGCCTAAGACAGTGACCGGTTTGCCTAGTACCGCCGGTACCACAGCTGCGATGGTCCTGATCAGGGGTTGTACCATGTACGTGGCTCACGTGGGGGACTCTGCCATCATGATGGGAAGATACGACCTGTACTCCAACAGAGTAAAGGTGGGTTCATATTTTCATATTATCAAGTCCAACATCCAATTATGAGGAAGTGTCAGGTCAGTACCTGATTTAAAAAAAAAAGGCAACACTTAAACACATATATGAACAATTTATTCTTCAAGCATAAGTTATTTTGGAAAGAAAACCAGACAAAATAGAGTGCTTGACAAAAAAGCCTTAGTGTTTTTTTAAAGCTATTGAAAAAATGTTCAAAACAGGCCTAACTTCTGCTTGAAGAGTGGGAACAATTGTCAATTTAACCAACTACTGGCAAAATTTTCATAGAGTACAATACAAGAAGGTAAAATATGGGGAAAACATTTTCTTCCCACGGCCTTGTCCTTTCTTAAAGGCTGTAGTCGATCCTACGGAGGCCATTTTCTTTTCTTTGTCTGCAAGAATACTAGCACCAGGGTACAGGCACCCTGTCCATTTGTCAACTTGCACCCATTGTTGACCAACTGGCCTCACAGTTTTCTCAGCGGCATTGTTCTATTGACGGACAGGAACAAAGGGCTATGTTTTGACCTCTGCTATGTAAACAATAGGTCAGACCTCGCCAAGGTCTTAGGAAAACTACTGGCAGTGGTGACTCAGTATTTTGGGAAGTTGTCTTGAAATCTGGTCTCATATTTGTGCTGTTGTAGCCTTTTGATCAGTTAGAATAGATCTCGGTTAGACGGTTTTGTTTGCCATTCTTGACTGGGTACATTGCTTGCACGCTAGTCTGGATGCCAGACTGTTTCCAGGGTCAATACAGGCTAGCTCCTTAGCTCTAGGGCTAACATGCCCTAAGAAAGTTTTACCACAGCCCCCCTGAGAACTACTTGAAAGGGCTGTGGTAGAATTTCCATGGGGTAATTGGCATCAAACCCAGCAGCTGGCCTTTGCAAGCCCTGACAGGCCCTGGAAAAGTCTGGCACCCAGGCTACCTGCACAAGGCAGCTTGTATTCATTTGGGTTTCCCAGAAACTGTAAACACATGAGACAGCCTTGACACATAACTGGGCTTGGCAATAGGAAAACTAAAACAAACCAGTTACATTTGTTTAAACTATAGAAATATACATGACATACTGTCGTGGTTACATTTATTTTTGTGTGTGTGCTTCTCTCTGCTGATGCAAATGATTGGCTCCAAATTTGTATTGGTTACAGAGTTAGGCAGCAGGGGAAAGGTTAAAGATTGTCATGATTGTTTTTCAGTTCAAAGTTCTAAATTAATATGATATAGACCTTCTTTAGAATTAATGATATTGATAGTATGTTGTTTTTAAAGATATTAATTAATGCTGCGGTCCATCTGGACTTGGTCATATTTTTCTTAAGTAAATCAATCAATCAAGAACAATAATTAAACAGGGAGTGATTTGTTGTTTCTTTAGGCTATACCACTGACTCACGACCACAAACCAGAGCTGCCCAGCGAGCGAGAGAGAATCGAGAGTCTGGGCGGCAAGGTCATGAACAAGTCTGGCGTCAACAGGGTGGTGTGGCACCGCCCCAAACTCTCGCACACCGGGCCCATCCGCCGCAGCACGCAGATCGACTGCATCCCGTTTCTCGCGGTGGCACGCTCGCTCGGAGACCTCTGGAGCTACGACTACGGCTCGGGAGACTACCTGGTGTCGCCTGAACCCGACATCAGCGTACACACGGTGGACCCGAGATCCGACAAGTTCATCGTGCTGGCCAGCGACGGACTGTGGAACATGATGTCCATGCAGGACGCCTGCAACTACGTAGTGGAGTGTGAGCAGAGGAAACATGAAGAGGTGGGTAGACCATACCGAAGCGCCCCCTAGTGACAAGTGACAGTACTGCACCCACAACATGCATTTGTATTTTTTTGTGTAGAGGGCTCAAGTAGTTGTGACTTTTTTGTGGTGAAACCAGTTAGCATGGGTCTTAACAGTTCTCTCTTCTCTCTCACATAGTACACATCAAAGCTAATACATAAGCAAATAAGCCTACTTAGCAACTCTACTCTTTCATATAGGTATTGAATCATTAACAGTTATGTAAATGTTTGGTGTTGGAGTTTGTTGACAGAGAGGTGCTGTAGTTACGGGACCCACTTGATAGACATTTGATAACTTGTGATAGTCAAATGAAAGTCCTCATGTAAAGCATTTTAAGTTTTGATTCAACATGGGAGAACTCTCTAAGACAGAAGATGTAACTGTTTTTTTTCTCTCTTCAGATCGGGGGCCACGTGTCCCATAAGTTGGTTAACAAGGCGCTGATGAGATGGCGATCACGGATGCTTCGTGCTGACAACACCACAGCCATCACCATCTTCATCGACCCTATCCGCGCCGAGAAGGAAGAATGCAAGGTCATATATCCTTCCAAGACGCCGTGGAAGTGCTTAGCGGAGCATCCCGAGCCAACCAAAAGCACACCTCCGACTGTCTCCAGACCTCCTGAAGAAAGCAAGAAGCACGAGCACAAGCGACACCACTCACACGAGCACAAGCGACATGAACACCAGAAACACAGGCACTCGCACAGCAAGAAGGACAGGCCTCGCAGCCTGACCCCCACGCTATTCCGACAAAACGCGGTCCTGGTTCATCCAGAAGTGAAGAAGGAACTCAAGGCGAACTCTGACCTCCCTCCCCACGATGACACAACAGCAAACCAACAACAACAACAACAAGGCTCAGACACATCAGCAAACTCCAATCACATTCCAGATAACAAACCAAGTTCGGAAGTACGGACCAATCAGGACAGTGAGAAAGAATCAGACCCAACAGCAAAAGAAGATAGTCCCTCTAAGGACAATGTCGAAAACGACATCACTAAAGCGGCCTGCTCCAGACCAGGGGTGTCCCACAACAGGAAAAGGGCTCACCCCGAAGACGGTCTAGCTACCGGAGAAACCGGTTCCCCGGCGAAGAAATCTAGAGCTGGTATGGGCGGGGCCGAGATAAAAAAGGGGCGGAGCTTGAGATCCAGAGTGTTCTCCTTCCACGGTAGACCAGTGAAGTGTAGTCCGATGAAGGACAGTCCTCAAAAACCAACCAAGAAAACTCCACTGAAGTCTTCACAACGAAAGCTGACACCACGAAAAACCTAGGAGTATTGCACAACAACAACTACTGCTATGCAGGTTATTGAGAAAAGTTGTGCTAGCTCACAACTTGTACTAACCTTAAAGTCCAACTCATCTTCAATCCTTTTGAACCAGTTAGGAAAAAAAACATACGATTATTTTAACTAGGACATATCAAATTTTGGTCATTCAACCGTGGGAGTCAAACAAAAGTTTTTAAGATATTTGTAAAAATAGAATTTTTGAAATAGAGCCGTTTTTGGATTGCATGAATTTTTAGATTCTTGTAGTTGTCTGTGTAATATCTTCTATTTTATTGTGAGCGATGTCAGAATTTTTTAATTTGTAAGTCGTAGATGTGGAGAAGAAATTAACTTTTTACATTAACACAACATTTACCTACTGGGTTCATTTGATGTCAAGTAAAATTTGAACAACTTAATGTCTCAGTCACTCAGGTCAAAATGTCCAGAAGCTTTTAAGCATTATGGCAGTTTTCCTGTCAATGTACAAATGTTAGATACTGCTGCAACTTAACATAGCATGGGATGTCACTAGTGTAGATGAATTAATAGCTAGGTTTGGCTTGTAAAATATTTTTCTAAATTGTCCCTGCAATTTTTTTTTGGTTCTTGACTAATAATATGGCTAAGGAAGACATTTTAATCCTTTGGTAAGGCAATTTTATAGCTTTTACATTAACCAAACATTGAGAGTTTTTGACATCTCAACCCGCGTATCAATTTCAGATCTCTTTTATAGGGAAAGTACTAGTAAATGTTAAAAAAAACAAACACTTAAACGCAAAACCATCTAACTGGGTACACGAGTAACCCTACTAGCCAGCAATTTGAAATTTTGGAATGTTCAATCTTAACTTGAAAGAAAATAACAACATGTGGGTTTAAAAGTAGACTGGGATTCACAATGTCTACTCATTGACCAGAGTCAAAGTTTTATAGATTTTTTCTTTACAGAACTTGATTTTTTGATATGAAAAAGACTAACAGGAACTACAGCACAAGTGAAGATTGGACTTTACTTTTCTTAACTTACCATTTTATAAATCGTAACAAGAAGGAAAATGAACTAATACTTGGTTGGTATTTTCCCTCGATAAGAGAATAATTGTAGTTAAAACTTCAAGCTCTAACCAGTTTGACTTGCCAACTACAACATACATGTAGAAATTCCTGTATAAAAGGGTGTAGAAAGTGGTGTTTGACAGTTTTTTAGTGTTTGGTGGTACGTAGTATGTTATAGGAACTAGTGAGTGCATTGTGATGAAAATTAAAACTGCAACCAAAACTGTTTGAAAAAACTTGGCACATCGCAAAAAATTACCTTCTCAGGACAACTTTTGATATCATAAATGGAACAACTTAATATAACTAACTGATGTTGGAATGTACAGTAGGTATTTGGGGCAAGGGAAGTGAAAATATCAATTTAATCCAACAGTTTTTCGCCTTTCAAATTATGTTCATAGTGAGATGTCTGACTTTATGAAACATGGTTCAGTAAGGGATTTAGAAACATTTTTTGCTAGGAAATAAATTTCCCTTTGTACCAAATACTTGACAGTTCCATGAACCAATTTCATTTTTTTATTTGCTGCAAGTTGATCGATATGTGAGTCATTTGAGAATTTGATAGGAAATTTTTCTCAAGTTGAATATACCCATCTCTTGTATGTTGATTGTGATGTTGTTGTTGTTACATGTGTTAACATTCAGTCTGTATTGGTACAAATCACACCTGCAAGGAAGGACCTGATTTTTGTTGTAACAATTAAATGCTACAGTCTTAATGGCAACCAATAGTTTTATTTATTTTGCTCTGCTTTAGATTTGCTTGGTCCTTGCTCAGTGCTATGTAAATAGTCCTTCCTGACTGTCCATCAGAATTAGTGGTTCAACCAATGAGAGCATGGTAATTAACAGTTTGACCAATGAGGTAGCTGCATGCCTGTCAATACTGGTGTGTCACCCAGATTTGAGGACAAGGGCAGTGTACCAAGGTCCTGGCATTTGGCCATGAAAGAAAACAAACTGGTTCACGGACAATGTTCAATCCATGAAATCTTAGTTAACCCTTATCCAGCTATGTGTAGGCAAGCATCCTTAGGGAAATGGTTAACAATGTAAAAAATGTGCGAGACCAAAAAACAAGTGTTAGTCACAATAAACCTAGAGTCATGCACAGATTTTTCTAGAAATGCTTTTTTTTAGAGAAACAAAGTTGAACAGAAAGCAGTCAGCTGTCATTTAGTCGATTCTGAAAAAAAAGAACATGCAATGTGCTCTTGTGCTGTATCGACACTTGGATTGAGGCAACCAACGTACAATGTATTTTAAACATCAAATGTGACGAAAAACTACCTTGTTTTCGTACTGCTACAGTTTTCTATAAAATAGGATCTTTATCACTAGTACTATTAACAAACAGCAAACAATACATTTATACTGATTAACATTTGATACACAGACTTTATTAGTAAGAATTTATGGCCGTATCTGTACCATCTTTCGAATACAGCTGCAAATTGCTTTGGTGCTACTGGAAATTGGTTAATGTATATATTTTCTCTCAGAAAATGTGACCTTTGTAATGTAATGCACCGTGTATTGTCTTTTGCATTTAATTATGTATACATAACACTTATTATCCGGCCTTATGAAATATGTTTAATAGGAAGTATTGTGAACTAATAACAGATTATAGATTTTGGATTTTTTTTTTACATTCGTACTGTAAATCAGACCAATTTGTAAGTAGATGGAAGTTTTTGTGTGATGGATTAAATGTGTACAATTGAATTGTCTGTTGACTCTTGTGATTTTTTGGGCCTTTGTGAAGGGGTGAAGTCTGCCATCTCTGACTACCTTGTCCTTGTTACCTGTATTGTATGATAAACATCAAGTGGGGTCCTGTCATTCATATTCTAACTTACAGTAAGTCTTTGGGACACAGAAAGTTTTTGAGTTCATGATACGCATGGCCACTTCACTCCCTAATTCCTTGTCCTGCATGTTTTCCATAGGAGAAGAAGGGAAAATCCAGCGTTTACATATCCATCCGCACCGGTATAGGGTGGTGGCTTGGGAAGAATACTGGTAGTACATTATGTAGCTGGGTAGTTCTGTCCAGTGTGATGGCCGATGTCTGCCGGTAGGTGTCGCTGTTTTACTTGGATTTCCTTAGCAATGTCTGTATCGATGCCGGAGACCGAGCAGACCGTTTCTTTCAAAGCCTAAAGGATCAAACAATTGTTGGGTGCGATTTGGCACGGGGGAGAAACTCTTTCAGCTCTGTTAAGTACAATAAGCAAAGGAAAATCTGCACGCTTCTCGATGGAACAACACTGCTTACATACACTTCGCAAAGTGCAGTACTCAAACTGGCCGTTGTGAGTCGCTTTTAGTCCACGGTTGACAAGACCCAGGTGCTGAAGCGCCTTCCTCCATATGGACGGAGCGTTTTTCACGTAGCCGTCGGTCGATCACGGGGCACCTTTTTCAAACACCGCTTAAAGCTAAAAAAAAATTTGCAAGACTGTCCTTAAAACGTAATACTATGATTTAAACTGTATTTCATTCTTGTGCTATTTGGGAGAAATAGAAGAACCCCCCCCCCTCCCAAACACTAATAGTAAGGTTAAAGGTTTTTGCTAGCAACGTTTCACCCATCATCCTAGTAAACCGTTTGACCGGACGTGTGGTCGAACGAACAATGTGAATAGCTCAAACTAAACCCCACCTATGTAGTGTAAACATTACGTGCTTTACAAATGCGTGGACTATGTATTTCCGCAAGCCTTCCTACATACTAGTAGTATACCTTCCACTTCATTCGTTTTAACAGGATAACCAAAAGCCTTGCTAAGAGATGTAAATAGTCAAAGGTACTACCGGTAGTGACCATTTCTTCGATCATATGAACGTTCCGTTCTTCTGCATTTCTAATACACGTACGGCATACAACGTTAAATACTTAAGTGTCTGTGAACTGGCCAAGGCTGATGTAAATGAAAATACACAAGTTTGTTAGTACCAAGTCTTGTCTTCCTCAAGGCTGCTCAGTATTGATTTATTGATCGTGTATTAAGTACCCTCTGCGTACAGTGTGAAAAAATAATTGCGTTTGTAAAGTACACATGTCTTAATTAGGACGACGATATCTTTTGTCTAAAAAACCTCTTCCATGACAAATGTTGTGAATTAATAAAAAGTGGGTCAATTGACAAGTCGATATACGGTTAAACATACTGCATTCCCGGCTTACTTTAATTTACTTTGGTACGTCCAATCTGCTCCTATTACTGCTTAACCGTACGTTCCTCGGACTATAAAAGAAAACAATATATTAACTTGGGTTCTTTTGCAACAAATAAAAGCTGAAAAGGGTAGCAAAGAATATTCAATTGAAATAGAAGCGATTTATGTTGGTAATAAACAGCCGTCCCTGGTGGTACATTCATCGTGAATTGTCAGTTCTCCACCGTCATTCTATACAGGCTCTGATCGTTAATCTTCTGGAAAGGTCGTTTGCATAATATAGTTGACTTGGGGGCACTTTAGACTGACGACGGTTCGATAGTCGTACGAATGTTTATCGTCAAGATGTTGCCGGCGACGGTATTTTACCACCGTCTAAAGACGATCAAAATAGTCGCACGACGGTAATCCTCGAATCGTCGTCACTACCACCTCGGACCCTATCGTGCGATCCTTCAGCGGGGGGGTCCGAGGAGGATTTTCCACCGTCTAAAGTGAACCGTCGCCGGCGAAGGAAGTGGGGGGTCATTGGCCTTATGCAAATAAGCCTGCAAGCGTTATTTCATGTCCAAGCACATCGCCTGTATCATTAAATGTCGACAAACCAAAGACTTTATATCGTCATACGTGTCTAGTACAATCCCCTGCCACCAATCGCTACTTCTCCAGTACGAACCGATCCGCCGATCCACATTTCCCGGCCAATGTAGCCAGGCCGACGGCAGCACCGAACGCCGGGTTCAAACCCGGACTATTGCCCCGCTCGGTACATGTGCCATATACCCCTTCTTTGCTGGGCACAAACTCGGCGTCTCATCAACAGGACAACGAGTTAAAAGCAGAATAAAAACAATCTGCTGCAGCATGCCGATAAAGGGGTTCTCTCGCCATTTTGAATTGGCGCGCGGCGTGCCATCCTGCGCTGCGGGTGTCCGCCACGCTTTCTGGTCATGTGTCTAAAGCCAGCCGTCGCCCACAACGATTGTCGTGCGATCGTATACCGTCGTCAGTCTAAAGTCGGCCTTGGATTGAAACGGCCTGTATGTGGTCTCTAATCAAGTCTTCTACTGGAGGTGTCTATAAAATGGCTACTCTCCGAGCAGAGGTTTGGGCTTGGTCTTATGTTAAGGTTTTTTCATCGGGCTTTTTTTTGTACCGGCATTTTTTTTGCCAGCCAACTTCGGGAGTATATTGGATAGTTGGACACTGTCCTGCCGATGACACTGTATTGCAGGCACCAAAAGATCTCCTTGGAGATCGATCTCTGTAAACGACTATAGATAATTCGAAACGGTGCAGTCACATTCATTGTTATACGCAGTACGATTTTGATCTAGTAGTAGTGTTTTGAAGCAGGCTGTGACTTAACCAATCACGGACAAAGAATCTTACACAGCTTTCTCCGACTTTACACGACTGCTGATTGTTGTATACGACTCGCACACGAATATCCCAAGAATGCTCACAGTTTGCTGTCGTTCGATGCTCGTGCGACAACCAGGCGGCCCATATATTACGACCGCCAAATTAATCTACAAGAGTAGACGTTAAGAGAAAGAGATGGGTGAGTTGGGACGGTTCTGTAATACCTCATGTAATCAAAGCTGTCGTTAAATGTCGTAAAATACCATTACTTGGACTTAATGATATAAAACGACATCGTTGTGGTTCTATGATAGGTCTCAACTGTACACCACGATTCTGGAACAATAGAAAGCCGTATACCTTTTCTAAGAAAAGGGCGCTTAACCAATCATATATTCCTGTCAGCATAACAATAATTCTGTAATGTGCAATATGCTTCTTACTTAGAATCGTATATTGTACATCATTTAAGATGATTATCTTGAAAGGTGGGTCATTATTTATGATCAAATTATATCTTGTATTTCATTTGTCTTTGCATTCACGTATATAATTCAGTCTAGTATGTCAATAAAATAACAATCATTGTGTCGTAAAGGGTACTGACTTTTCTATGATCTCACAAGGGTGGATTAATCAATATATAAATATTTCAAGTGCAGGTCGCCACTTCCGTTTTTCGTACACATATTCCGTGGAATACAAAATGGTTTTGGTCAGGAAGCAAAAACGATGGGTCGGTTTTAATATGGATGTTTCAATATAGGTGAGTCTGTCTGTACAGGCGGCGAGGCTTTACCCTGTCCGGGGGGATTTAGCTCAGGCGACGGCATGTCTAGACACTACATGATCACGCACTGGAAAAACTATAGGCCTCGTACTATGATGATACCTCCTAAACATCTATAGATATTGCTTCTTGTGCATGCATGTAACGCAAGTTGAAAATACGTTAGAATTTTTAAAAAAGCTGAAGTTATGACGATTTTTTCTGTCTAGGATCTGCGAGTCTTGGTGAAACCAAATTCATCTGCTTTGTCTTTTTTTTATTTCAGAAAGCGTGTGATTTAATTGTATTAAGGTAGTGTCATTGACTTTTCTAACTTAGTGTTCAGAGTGGTTTCAGGTCCTGTTATACTGTGTGCGTTTGTAGAATGTATAATAAACTGATGAGCTTAGCCTGTCTGTGTGGAAGTGAAATTTCATCACGATCAGTCGATATTCCCTCCTAGATTTAAACAATGAAATGAAGCCAAAATTGTTCTAGGCGTGTCCGAAAAAGCTTTTAGGTCCCAGTACTCGCTATCGAACGCAATCTCCAACAACAAAGGCAAACTCGAAGAGCTTCTTACGGTTTTTTACTCACTCGAGAAGACAATGCGTCCACGAAAACAGCATTTAACAGGTTTTCAATACAATTCGTAAGAGGATATAGAATGGTTCTTACGCGCCTTTATGGCTCAAGTCTTTGGATTTCTGGCGTTTTGTTCGAGCTCGGCCTCCCCAGGCGGTTTCAACTTCATCCCTTTTATAGAGAGTTAAATCCCACGTATTGCTTGATCTGAGATTATCCTGTACGGATGTTATCTTTCTAATCTTGCTAACGCGTCTTTGCTATCTTGAATCCTTGACGACAGAAGAGGTCGTGTGTTTACCAACGCACGCTGAGCAAACTGGTAGAGTCAAATCTGACGACGTTTGATTGTGGGCGTCCCCATTGAAAAATGGCGGTAAATTGTGTTTCCATGTTTGCGGACGGTCGCTGTAAAAGTCGTCTGCGGTCTCTGTACGGAAGCCGCAGTGTATTTTCATCTGAGTAGACAGTCTTATCTTCTTAAGTTGTTATTCTTGCAAGCATAACACCTGTTATTTGAGCGCGACACGTTGTTTGACACCCGGTTACCAAGGGTTGCCATGCGACCGGGAAATGTCAATAATGTCGTCTGCGCGTACTGCCAACAGCGTGTGTGAAGTGTTCAACTGTCACTCAACGTGCCGAAACAGATATGGTTACTTTGATACAATTTAGACTATAGGCGAGAAATACAAACCACATTTGGGGGCGTTCCAAACTTAACACTTGCATTCGCTCGACATAAAGCCTGCCTGAGTCACAACGCAAACGGCTTGATTACGTTTGTAATATTATCCGAGCTCTTTTACAGCGCAGCGAATTTTGCCTGGCGACCTTTAGAGCCGGGTCCATTTGGCGGGGTTTTGGCGGAAGGCTCGCTATGGTGAATAATGGACGAGTTTTGGCGACGTAAGCACGCCGCGCCTGGCTGTAAGGTACGGTCGCTATAGCAACCGGAGTCCCCGAGCCGAGCGGATCGTTCCAAATTGACATGTTTGAAAACGACAAATGCTGAGGGGGACTGGCGACTGCGGATCGAATATTTACCCATTCTATTGATAGAGAAAGGCGACTGTTTGTTGATGTGACTCGGGTGAATAGCATCTAGCCGCGTGCATTGTGCGCTACCCGGGGGAATTTCAGCGCCAGCCAATCGCGACGGAGCGCCGGGGTGTACGGAACCAGTTCAAGTTGCCAGATCGAAGTGCAGATCAAACACTGCGTTGCTGTGAGGCGCGTTTAGCAGGCATGACGCAGCGGGGGCGAACACTCCAGTAGGTAGTAGTGATCTCTCCGCGAGCCGAGCAGACATGGCCGACCTGGAGTACCTCACGGAGCGAGTACGGGCGGCGGCCAGCACCTCGATCCGCCCGTTCAGCTCCAGCCAGGAGTACCTGTACGCCATGAAGGAGGATCTCGCCGACTGGCTCAACACCCTCTTCGAACTCGAGCTCACCGTCGGTAACTTCGTACCGCGCTTGGAAACCGGGGTGATCCTCTGTCACCTGGCTAACATGGTCCGGCACAAGGCGATGGAGTACCTGGAGGACCATCCAGGTGTGCGGCTCAGCGTGCCGGGCGATGCGGACATCTCCCCGTCGGGAAACGCCGAGCCGGGCACGTTCCGTGCTCGGGAGAACGTGGCCATTTTCATCGACTGGTGCAGGCGACGTTCGGGCGTGTCGGACTCCCTCATGTTCGAAACGAACGATTTAATCGAGGGTAGAAACGAGAGGAGCTTCGTGTTATGTCTACTAGAGGTAGCGCGGAGGGGGGCTAAATTCGGGATGCTGGCCCCCATGCTGATTCAGATGGAGCAAGAAATAGAGGAAGAGATTCGTGAGGAGGCCCCTCCCCCGCCACAGCGCAGGGTGTGTGATCTGTCATCGCTAGACGACATGGTAAGGAAAAAACATGTTATTATGCATACATGTGTTTCTCCAGACCATACTGCACATATTGAGTGAGTGAGGCAAAAATAGGTGCGGTTTCCGGTAGTAGATCCTCTATTCTGTATTCATGAAAGAAACGGAAACAGGAACGAAAACTACACTGCAATATTCCCTTCCATATCCCACACAGCCTGACCCTGTGAATCTCATTTTGATGACTGTGCCGTGCTACCGAACCCTGCCATGCCGGCTTCGTAAAAATTACTTCCTGCGAGGTCAGATATATTAACGATCCTCCTCGATCGATAAAATGCGTATCGCTGTGCTCATCTACGCGAACGCGCATCCCAAATGAATCACCCACAACGTTTCGATGTTTTCCATGTACAGTCCTCACAAAATGGCCCGTTCGTTAAGTTAGACATTTGTCATGGCTATCATTGACCTCAGGTGAGAAGCCCCTTTGTTGAGACAGGTACATAATGTTCCGACAAAGGTACAACAATCAACACCTGTGCGACCACCTCTCTCTGTGTACACGAAACAACTCCAGTCTAGCCGTTCCGACATTTTTGCCTGGGGGTAGAATTTTACTAATTTCCTGCGAAAATATCAGTGCGGCGATGTGTTTACGTTCACTGATGTTTACGGAAAATATGTGCACCGAAAAAAACATGACGATAAACTCGTTCATTTTGCGGCATTAGGTTATCGTTCCCACGCAAGGCAACCGACCTATTTCAAAACACGGTTCTAAATTCGTCCCTCGCCCATCCGATTAACGTCACTGCTCTCTGAACCGCGGAAGACACTGTTCTCTTTGTTTGTTTGGTGTGATGTAGTGGGAAGATTAAAGAAAGAAAGACACACACAAACCGGGCTAAAAAAAATAATGCATGTAAAAATAGTATACAATGCGATGAAGGTTTTATAAGCTCTAAAATGGAAGAAGACGATAATTAGAACACACATGCAGAAAACTACACGTACTTTCACTCAAATTAGTGAAAAAGAGCAGATTACATGGTCGATTTAATTCCCTGTCAGATTTGCAAACAGACAACCACCTGTTATGGCAGCAATGCATGCTGGGCGTGGGGGAGGGGGGCGACATATTGTACAACAATAACGCACTCGAAAAACCATTGCGTTCAGGCATTCTCTATTACAAAGACAACACAATAGCCATGTACAAGTGGTGCTTTAGCTTCTCAATAAGTAGGAAATTCCTGTGAGCCAGCGTATGACAAAGCCTGACAAATCCGCGACACTGTTTCAGTTTATTTTGAAATGAGTGGTTGGAGTATATTGGTGTTTGCAGCGCTCTTCAAACGTCCGGAAAATGCAGTAATTGGAAAACGCCGTCTGCGGGTATGAATCACCTCGGTATCGGACCATGGCAAACCGGTGCACCCATTCACATGATATCCCCGCCCCAGGCCCGCTAATTTACCTGATTTGACCGTGCATCTTACCGTGTCTTTTCCCACGGTTAGAAGGAATAAACAGGAGAATATCAGTGTTACATTTTCACACTTTGCCGAATATAGTTTGAACGCGTCGAAATTGCGTACATTCAACACTAAGACACAGAGACATATATATTGATGATGTATTTGTTCTAGACTGGTTACCAAACCTATTTAAGCTCCCGAGTCCTACATACTCTCCGCAAATTTGCTATTTGTGGAGAGGATGTAGGACTCGGGAACTATAATAGGTTTGGTAACTAGGCTATATTTGTTCAGCAAGGGAGGTATACCTATGATTATGTCAGAAGATAACATTTCTTCAGTAGGACTTAAAATATGTGCATATGTATTATGATGTATGGTAAAAAAATGATTTTATCAGTTGAATATTATGCACGGTGTAAAATATGACCTATAAGACAGCAAAGCACACAAAACGTAAAAAAAATAGCGGTCCTTTATCATTATGTACGGAATTTATTTGCGATCTAGTAATTTTGTGCTCGCCCAGCCTCTGGTGGAAAAGGGGAGTGTCATTGGCACGAATGTAGAGCCAGAAATATCGCATTATTCCATCAGTGACTGCGACCAAAGAGACCCAGCGCTAATCACTCAACCGCGACGCAAAGCCGGCTCTACCAGGCGCGGTCCGGGAATGCGTGCACAAGATTCGAACCCGGCGAGTGCTTGCTTACCCCGCGGTAAACTCCCAAACGTCCTGGCCTAGTCATGACTCTACAAATATTCGCTGTAGTTTAAACCGCCATAGATTTGATCCGCTGTCCCTAATATGGTCTCCACTAATTAAGTCTGACTGATTCGTGATTATATCCGCAGACGCAGGATAATTGGCACTCAGTAGCCCCCATGGGTTCATTAGAGAAACACCTCCTACGATATTGCATTTTTTTACACCGGGCGTCATAATGTAATTTTGTACTCAAGGCATAATAATCATATTCTAAAACGTATACGATTTTAGTCCAGTATTCATGAAATATTTAAATTCTACTATTTTCATGGTTTTGGGGAAGCAGTCTGTCATATCTCTAAAAACCTATAACCTTGAGTGCGACCTTGAATCAGGCCGCCATCTTTGTTTGTAGCACCTTGGTCCATTACCTGTCGAAATACGTTCTTACTGGTATCTCTTGCATTAAAAAATCATAATAAAATCGATGAAGGCCACAATAAAATCTTTTCACTGAAATAAATGCAATCAGAACATTTTACACACATAATTTTGCTCAGTTTTGTACACAAATATAGCATTTCCATCATTTTGTGACTACACCCAAACGCTAACTAAAATTTACAAGAGCACAAATTTAGATTAAACTAATCAAGGACTAATCAATAATATATTACACTAACACTAATACATCGTATATAATTTTTTGACATCGCAAAGAAAGCCGTAATTTACCATATGTTCAAACAACATCGATACTAAATCCTGAAATCACAGATGTTAGTTATATAACCCGCCCAAACTGTGACCTCATGCATTACTATGTCATCAAGGATTTACACCCAAACTGATTAAACCCCTCTGTTACTAGTTACGGGCTGAGCGAAGAGGTATGAAGTTCTTTCAAATCCTAGCCGTAATCTTTACACTGGTTTATTCATAAGCCCTGTGTAAAATTCGATTCCCAGTAAGAATAAATTTAGGAGTGCACGTGGTGACATTCGTCGTAGGCCGTCGAACGATTTTTATGTCATAAAATTTTCAAGCAGGTTGTGACAGAACCAAACATCCACAAATATTTAAGACAGCCTTCTCTGTGACAAGACATAGAATTCCCAGTTTGCGATCGTACGAAGATCGTACGTACGAATTATTACCGCGCCCTAAGAATGTTCCCTTTGAGACTCAATAATCCAGGAAGTAAATTAAATAACCCACGTAAGGCCGTGTCACTCAGGTCCCATTTACTACTTCCGGTTCGACGCTTTTCATAGTTCTTTTTAGAGAAGCATGACTCATTCAAGCGGCAATGGCGTTTAGTGGTTACGGTCACGGCAACACGACCGATCTCAGTCACCCGGCAGTTCAGCCAATAGTATCGGGCATAGCGCGGCGCGGAGCCCGGTGACATGTCCACATTAGGGTCAACTACTCAAAGCAATTGGCCATAATGTACGAGAACTTAGTGACTCCCAATAACCATAAATTGACATCTGTTTGTGTATACAGTAGTTAGGGACAATATTAGGCTTGTAGTGTAGTATGTACTGCTAAAATATACGTACAATTGTCGGGGAGAAAAATAGCACAAACTTTCGTCCTATACAAATAAAGTTCAACTCTTGAAAATAACGTTACATTTTCAACTTGTTTTTCAAAGATACAATCATGTAGTTTGATTTTTCCCTGCTGCAAAAACTTGGATTGCTATCTAAAGCCTTTGCTTCCCCCCAAATGTTCAAGATTATACTGTATATATACAAATCTTGGAATGGCAATTACCATGTGTACATGTATACGAGTTTAATCTATTGCATATGAACTTCGCGCAAAACGTTGTCAATGGTGTTTCAAAAATAGAAATACCTCCGCTGCTCAGCAAACCCACGCCGCAAAGCCACGTAAGTCAAACATCTAAAGCGTTGAACTTGTCACTAAAGTCATTAGCGAGAATAGGTAGGCACTTATCTTTATATTTATCTCAATACTGTTCACTTTATCACTACCTTTTTGCACAAGTAACACGAGAAGAAATTGATTTCCAATTTTTCATAATTACTACTCTCGTATAATGGACGGTGTGTAATGCAGCAAAACGATAAGAGCCCAAGCAAAATTATAGGAAATTGAAATATTGACAGTTAGAAAGTGTAGTGAAATATACACGCAGCTTGCATTTTGCAAAAGATCTTGTTACCATGTTATGTTTCAAGCGAATGCGTTAGAATGTACAATATTCCCAAGACGCTAATAAAATTCTTATCCACAAGATATCAGATAACAGAACGCAGCAACAGCGTCTCAAATAGTAGTAAACGCACCTCCCAAACCGTAACACGTTGTCTGGTTGGTGGAATTTTATGTGTAAAGAATATGCCGTTCTACACATGCAGGTCACGGTGTTTCGCTGTTTATAATCTTGAAGGTTTACTCGGTAACTCGAGGACAATTTTGAAAATGCGGCGTTAAATTGTTTTCATTGACAAAGTTAATGTGATTCTGCATTTCCATCAACGCATGAATGAAGTTGCTGTTGTCCCAATTTCAAATTGACAAATTGCATCTTGCGGTACATATTGGAGAGATAGACCGTCTTCAAAAGTAGGCCAATTGTACCATAAAGCCATTATCGGATGTTATGTTGTAGCACATTGTTCACTGAGTTATCTAAATTAACTTAGTTATCAAAGCAAGATTTTCCCTATCTTATAGAACAAGTAACGACGCCACAACATAAGATCAAACTTTGCAACATGTTAATTTCGATGTATACATAAATCATAAATAACCTGCTTTAAACCGTGTCCAAAACATATGCTTCGACAACCCCGGATTCTTACAAAACA